TTGATATGTGCTTGAGAATGGCTTAGTCTCCGGTTAAACCCGGGTTTAACCGGATCTGGATCAGAACCGAGCGGATCTGGATCAGACCTGAGCGGATCTGGATCAGTTCTGAGTGGATCTGGATCAGAACCGCTCCGTCTGACCCCTGAACTCTCTTCCTCCACAGCTACACCAAACTGGGCTACGCAGGAAACACGGAGCCGCAGTTCATCGTCCCGTCATGTGAGTATGGTCAGCAGCAGGTCGCCCCCTAGTGGCCCCGCCTCTAACCCCGCCCCCTCCCCAGGTATCGCCATCAAAGAGTCGGCCAAGGTGGGGGACCAGGCCCAGAGGAGGATGATGAAGGGAGTGGACGACCTGGACTTCTACATCGGGGACGAAGCCGTGGACAAACCGTCCTACTCCACTAAGGTACGGCGGCGGCCTAGAACCCTACAGAACCCGGTTCTGCTGGGTCTCCTGCGGACCTTAGTGGGTCACGATCAGAGGAGTTTCCTCTGGGTTCTCCCTGATCCTCGGGTTCCGGTTCTGACGGGTGGAACTGTTCTGATTGTTCTAGTGGCCGATCCGCCATGGCATCGTGGAGGACTGGGACCTGATGGAGCGCTTCATGGAGCAGGTCATCTTCAAGTACCTGCGGGCCGAGCCGGAGGACCACTACTTCCTGCTGGTAGGCGTCTTACGGACCGCACCGGGCCTGAGAACATCTCCAGCAGCTAGAACCAGAACCAATGCCTCCAAGCCCAGAATCTGGACCTTTTCTGGTTCCGACCTGATTACTACAGAAAATGAAAGGAGCAGAGATGGTTCTGATGAAGCCAGCAAACATCTGGACATGTTCTCAGAAGCCTGATGGTTTCAGACTGTGAGCAGAACCGGGTGGGTTCTGGTAACTGTGTCTCCTGTTTGCAGACGGAACCTCCTCTGAACACGCCGGAGAACCGGGAGTACACGGCTGAGATCATGTTCGAGTCCTTCAACGTCCCGGGGCTCTACATCGCCGTGCAGGTGAGACGTTTGGACCCGACAGAACCGAGCCGCTTCTCATCCTGCAGAGGTTGATGATGTTCTTTCTCTCTGTGTGGTGGGGGGGTTCTGCAGGCGGTTCTGGCCCTGGCCGCGTCCTGGACGTCCAGACAGGTCGGAGAACGGACGCTGACTGGCACCGTCATCGACAGCGGAGACGGCGTGACCCATGTCATCCCCGTGGTGAGTTCCTGGACGCTTTCAGAACCAAGCCGGTCTCAGAAGGGTTCCCATCCAGGACTGGTTCTTCTACTGAAAACAGGGACCGTTTCTAAGTAACCATGGCAACGGCCTTCATCAGCAGGGACGGTCCACGGTGCCGTCTATCAGCTGCTCGGTCTCGGCGTCATGACGATGAGTCTGTCTGTCGATATGACCCCATGAGGCTAACAGGCTAACGGCGCTAGCATGCGATCACCCCCCCCCCCCCGGCTTCCCTCCATTAAACCAGCTGATAATCCGTCAGTCATCATGTTCAGAAGGTCAGAACATCTGAACTTCCTCCTCACTCCTAGACTGTATGGCAGGCCGTTTTGACATTTATTCATAGCGTCGGCGTCTCTATTGTTCCATTTGTTGATCTCTAAAATACTTCCTGGTCAAAACTACATTCCTACTAACCAGAAATATACGTTAATATCTTTAATTACATTTTTTCCAGCAAAAATTAAATTTCAGGACGCATAAAATATTATTGTACTAGCAAGAATAAACTTTCAAATACCTAGAAATGTTTAAAGATTTAATGTGGCCCTTTAGACATTTATTAGCTTGACTATATATATTTCAGACGTCTCAAATAATAATATTCCTTTGCAAAATGAACATTTTAAATATCTGAAATGTTCCAAGTAAAAAATTACATCATGTTTCTCATTCATGTGTTTTGGGCCTTTCAGATATCAGAAATTACTTACCTATTGAAATATATCAGTAACAATTAAATAACAGAGATNCCGTCTGACCCCTGAACTCTCTTCCTCCACAGCTACACCAAACTGGGCTACGCAGGAAACACGGAGCCGCAGTTCATCGTCCCGTCATGTGAGTATGGTCAGCAGCAGGTCGCCCCCTAGTGGCCCCGCCTCTAACCCCGCCCCCTCCCCAGGTATCGCCATCAAAGAGTCGGCCAAGGTGGGGGACCAGGCCCAGAGGAGGATGATGAAGGGAGTGGACGACCTGGACTTCTACATCGGGGACGAAGCCGTGGACAAACCGTCCTACTCCACTAAGGTACGGCGGCGGCCTAGAACCCTACAGAACCCGGTTCAGTCGGTTCTGCTGGGTCTCCCACGGACCTTAGTGGGTCCAGATCAGAGCAGTTCCCTCTGGGTTCTCCCTGATCCTCGGGTTCCGGTTCTGACGGGTGGAACTGTTCTGATTGTTCTAGTGGCCGATCCGCCATGGCATCGTGGAGGACTGGGACCTGATGGAGCGCTTCATGGAGCAGGTCATCTTCAAGTACCTGCGGGCCGAACCGGAGGACCACTACTTCCTGCTGGTAGGCGTCTTACGGACCGCACCGGGCCTGAGAACATCTCCAGCAGCTAGAACCAGAACCAATGCCTCCAAGCCCAGAATCTGGACCTTTTCTGGTTCCGACCTGATTACTACAGAAAATGAAAGGAGCAGAGATGGTTCTGATGAAGCCAGCAAACATCTGGACATGTTCTCAGAAGCCTGATGGTTTCAGACTGTGAGCAGAACCGGGTGGGTTCTGGTAACTGTGTCTCCTGTTTGCAGACGGAACCTCCTCTGAACACGCCGGAGAACCGGGAGTACACGGCTGAGATCATGTTCGAGTCCTTCAACGTCCCGGGGCTCTACATCGCCGTGCAGGTGAGACGTTTGGACCCGACAGAACCAAGCCGCTTCTCATCCTGCAGAGGTTGATGATGTTCTTTCTCTCTGTGTGGTGGGGGGGTTCTGCAGGCGGTTCTGGCCCTGGCCGCGTCCTGGACGTCCAGACAGGTCGGAGAACGGACGCTGACTGGCACCGTCATCGACAGCGGAGACGGTGTGACCCATGTCATCCCCGTGGTGAGTTCCTGGACGCTTTCAGAACCAAGCCGGTCTCAGAAGGGTTCCCATCCAGGACCGGTTCTTTGGTGGAAAACAGGGCCCGTTTGGAGCAACATCTGCAAACCTCTGGAGGCTCCCATTGCGGGTCTAAGTAACCATGGCAACGGCCTTCATCAGCAGGGAGGGTCAATTAGCGACCAACAGCTAATTGACTTCTATGATGTTGAACCCGGGTCCAAACGGTGCCATCTATCGGCGCTCGGCGTCATGGCGATGAGTCTGTTTGTCCATATGACCCCATGAGGCTAACAGGCTAACGGCGCTAGAATGATCGTCCTGGTCGCTAGAGCTAGAACCGACACAGAGACACGGTCACTCCCCCCCCGGCTTAAACCAGCTGATAATCCATCAGTCACGTTCCAGAAGGTCAGAACGTCTGAACTTCCTCCTCACTCCTAGACTGTATGGCAGGCTGTTTTGACATTTATTCATAGCGCTGGCGTCTCTATTGTTCCATTTGTTGATCTCTAAAATACTTCCTGGTCAAAACTACATTCCTACTAGCCAGAAATGCACAATATAATATCCTTAATTACTTTTTTCCCAGCAAAAATTAAATTTCAGGATGCAAAAAATATTATTGTACTAGCAAGAATAAACTTTTAAATACCTAGAAATGTTTAAAGATTTAATGTGGCCTTTTTGACATTTATTAGCTTGACAATATATATTTCAGACGTCTCAAATAATAATGTTCCTTTGCAAAATGAACATTTTAAATATCTGAAATGTTCAAAGTAAAAAATGACATCATGTTTCTCATTCATGTGTATTGGGCCGAAATTACTTACCTATTGAAATATATACGTAACAATTAAATAACAGAGATCTGAAATGCATCTTTAGACGTCAGGGATGTTTATTTTAGATGGGAGTGATGTCACACATGAATGGGGAAACGTGACATCATTTGTTTTAGTAAGAATTACATTTCAGATATCTGAAATGTTAATTTTTGATGGGAAGAAATTCATTGGAGACATCTGAAATATATATATGATCAAAGCGGCTTGCCATAAGAGCACCGTACGGGAGGGTGTCGCCATATTTCCAGCCAGTGCTGGAAGTTTGATTTGATGTTACCTGATCAGCAGAACCTCAGACGCATTCAGGCGTCAGCTGGAAGTTTATGGAGGATCCAGAGGGTTGCTGAAGAAAAAAACTCCAGTAATTTAAAATTTAAAAGCATTTTCTAACATTTTAAATTGAATTATTAAAGATTTAATATTAATGGATTATAAAATACTGGAATCTGAAAATGTTTTATCTAATCGCTTCCCTAAAAACATTTTCATTTTGCTTTAGCTGCTGCGTTGACCTTATGTGACCCCTCTGCTCCCTGAGGCCACTGGAAACCAGTGAAACCCATCTCCCCACTGGAGGAAAAACTGGTTTAGATGCTGATTGTTGGCGGGTCGGCCATGTTTGAAAAACACGCGTAAAGCTGTTATTTTCAGTGGGAAAGAGGCTTTGGTTAACAAAATGACCAATGGGAGAGCTGGTTACATCTGAGGAGCAGCTGTTACTGGTCAAACTGGTTTCCAGTTGCCTAATTTAAATGTTAAGTTAGAAGTTTCCTTTTTTCAGTGACTCTCTAGATCCTCCATAGACGATACAGCAAAACTTTAAACTGCTGTAAGATTTGAAATAAAATAATTTGTTGAATTTATTTCCATTTAAGCAACTTCTGCAAAGGACGGTAAAAATGGCGGCCCCCGTCTGCCGCAGCTGGAAGCCCCTCCTGTTGTCCAGCTGAGCCAAAGCCTCTGTCCCTCCGTCACGTTTGCATCAATGGCTGAATGTGTTTCAGTTCAGGTTTGATGTTAAAATAATCAGGATCAAAGCGGCTTTAGTTAAACCGTTTATTGATTTATTGAAAAGTTTGAATCTCTGCAGCACATTTTCAAGCTCCTGTCACACCTTAAGGATTTAGACCGGAAAAATCTGGCAAAAAATGCTGGCATACGTCGGATATCTTATAGTACAGTGAAGCACGCTAGAACAGGAAAACACGCGGCGAGTATGCCGGCGTACGCTCATCCATCAGTTATGTGATGGTTGACAAACGTTCAGTACGTCAACCACGCGGCGCTGTGCAGGAATGCTGCAGGTTTTAACTTTGAACACGAGGCTCCAGGTTAAGATTGAAGACGTGTCCCGTCTGTCCTCCATGTCCAGGCTGAAGGCTACGTGATCGGCAGCTGCATCAAGCACATCCCCATCGCAGGACGAGACATCACCTACTTCACCCAGCAGCTCCTCAGGGAGCGGGAGGTGGGCATCCCCCCGGAGCAGTCCCTGGAGACGGCCAAGGCGGTCAAGGTGGGTCCTTGCCTCAACCCGGAGCGTCCCATAATAATTAGTTAGTCAGAACTCTGTAGAAGCAGCTGCAGGTCCAGTTGGTCTCAGAACATCTGACCCTGATCAAAGCGATCCTCCCAGGATTCCTGTAGAACTTCCAGAACCAGACCTGCTGCTCTGCAGACGGACACCAGATGGTGCCGTTGGTTTTAGTTTGGGTTGAGGAAGCACAGGGACGGTCCGCCTCCTGCCGGTTCTGATGGTTCCTGTTGCTCCCCCCCCACAGGAACGCTTCAGCTACGTCTGTCCGGATCTGGTCAAAGAGTTCAACAAGTACGACACGGACGGGTCCAAATGGATCAAGCAGTACACCGGCATCAACGCCATCAGCAAGAAGGAGTTCACCATCGACGTGGGCTACGAGCGCTTCCTGGGGCCCGAGATCTTCTTCCACCCAGAGGTCAGTCTGAGCGGAACCGGCCGGGTCCGGGTGAACCGAGCAGAACCATCAGAACCCTCTGACTGTGTGTGTCTCCCTGCCTGAACCCAGTTCGCCAACCCGGACTTCACCCAGCCCATCTCAGAGGTGGTGGACGAGGTCATCCAGAACTGTCCCATCGACGTCCGCCGGCCGCTCTACAAGGTACCTCCTGGTTTCTACTGGTACCGGTACCGGGTGACCCGGTCTGGAATCTGATGTGTCTCCTTCCTCAGAACGTGGTTCTGTCCGGAGGCTCCACCATGTTCCGGGACTTCGGGCGGCGCCTGCAGAGAGACCTGAAGAGGACGGTGGACGCTCGGCTGAAGCTGAGCGAGGAGCTGAGCGGAGGGAAGCTCAAGGTTAGAGCCACATCATGACTCCTCCACCGCCGTGCTCTGTCCTGCCACTCACTGGTAGGTCGGTTCTGATCCGGCTCTGTTCTGTTCTCCCTGCAGCCCAAACCCATCGACGTGCAGGTGGTCACCCACCACATGCAGAGATACGCCGTGTGGTTCGGAGGATCGATGCTGGCGTCGACTGTAAGCCGCTTTCTTTCAGGTCCTCTGTCTGAGCAGCCGGGCCCTCAGAACCCAAACAGTATGATCCATGTTGTTCTGGGAATCTGGATCAGAACTTTCCCAGCTGCTCAGACTGGATTATAAAAGGATTAGTTTGGTTCAGATTAATGAACAGCTGGTGTTTGTCTCCCCCTGCTGGTCATGGCTGGTTGAGCAGGTTTGGGTTTATTGCATTAGAAATATAATCAGACTTTAACAAAGGTCACAGAAGGACTCCATTTTAATTTCACTGAATTAAAGAAGGATTTCTGCCTCCGGTCCTTTAGGGGGCGCTAAACGCAGAGCGGTTCTGGACATTTCTGACCTGATTCAGACCCGTTTGAAGTGATCAGTTAATCAGGTACTGATCCGCTGGGCCCGGTGCCGGGGACGCCGATCAGAACCCTGTCCTCCTCCCTCAGAAGCATCAGACGTCCAATCAGAGCCGTCCCTCTAACCGGACCCGTCTGCGGTGGGAGGAGCTCCTGCAGAACACTTTGGACCGGGTCGTTAAAAGTTCTGGGGAATTTATGAGTCCCATGTAGCAACAGATCAGCTTCCTGCCAGTAACGTCACGCTGACTGACTGGCTGAGCGTTGCCACATGATGTAAAACAGTGTGGTCGACAAGACAACGATGATAACATCACGAGTCGGTAGCATCTGTAGCGTTAGCGTGTCTAATGACCGATAAAGTTTGACCTGATTGATAACTGAACCAAAACAAAGGAAAGAGCAGAACTAAAAGGGGAAAACCGGGTAACCCCGGGGCCAACCGGGCCCAAGAACCAAAAAGGTAACCCCCTTAACCTGCCCAAGTAACCAAAATAAACCAACCCAACTTTAAACCAAGGGAAGTGCCCGAAGATGATGTCATAAGAAGGGGCGGGGCCCCGAGCAGATCTGGTACCAGCGGTTCTCTTAGTTTCTGACCCAGAGGGATCCGGTCCTGGAGCTTCCACCAGCCGACCAGCAGGGGGAGCAAACAGGAGCAGAACTTTTCTCACTGAGCTGGAAGTAAAACCCGGTTCTACTAAACTGGTTCTGTTCTGCCCTCCAGCCCGAGTTCTACCAGGTCTGTCACACCAAGAAGGACTACGAGGAGATCGGACCCAGCATCTGCCGCCACAACCCCGTGTTCGGAGTCATGTCCTGAACCCGCGGGCCTGGGCGGGTTCTGGGACCGGACCGGACCGGACTTCTTTCTCTTTCTGTTCTGTTGTTTTTTTAATAAGGGAAACGGTTCCGAGCTGAAACTCCTGGTTCTGTTGGACCTTTCTGAACATATTTATCGATCCGGACTCAGGTTCTGTTCAGTTAGAACTTTTTGTTGTCGAATTTCTTTCCAGCTTCTTTCTGCTCATGTCTGTGGAACTGCAGGTTCTTCAGGAACCGGTACCAGAACCCAGACGGGTTGGTTCGGTTCTGATGGTTGTTTTTCACAGTTAAAGTTTGTCAGCGCCAAATAAAAGCTTCACGTTTCTAAGAGGTTCTGGTTCTTCACTTTGCAGGTTCTGTTGTGTCATAAAATTCAGAGGTTCTGACCCGGTTCAGGTTCCATTAAACCAAGTTAGAACAGGACCAAGCTGGGTCATTCAGCGCTCTGACCCGTCACAGAACCGGGTCGGGTCAGACTCCAGAACCTCGGACCTCTCCATCTGATTCTCATCTCCTCTGGTTCTGGGTTAGCTTGTTTCAGAACCGCTGACCGGTTCTGTTGGACCCGGTTCTGTTGGACCCGGCCCTGAAGCCTTTGCTCTGGATCCAAGGAGAAACGGAACCAGATCTGTTTGTGGTTCTGATTTCCAACAGAACCACAAATGCCTCATAGGATCTGGACCGGGTCACCTGGTGCGGTTCTGTTTGGACCCGGTTCTGTTCATCCTCAGAACCCAGCAGCAGCTGTAGTTTCCAGGAGGACTGATCTGAACAGAACCGGGTCCTGCGGGCTCCCCTGCCTACTGGACCGCTGTTCTGAGCAGAACCCAGCAGAACTTTCTGGTTCCAGGTTTGATTTATTAACCTGTTTGGATCTGTATAAAGAGGTGAAATAACAGGAGTTTGGACCGGGCCGGTTCTTCTGTCCCGGTTCTGACCAATCACCTGAGTTCTGGTCCACTTCCAGAAACGGACCGACCCACAAATCACCGGTTTCTGGTTGGAACCAAACGAGCGGAACGAAGGTTTTATTTGTTTATGATGATTGAACTAAACGACTTGTTATACAAAAATAAAACATTTTAACAATTTAGAAATATAGATCTACAAAAACAAAATGATTAACTGTTTGTTTTAACTTACAATCTGATAAAAAGCTGATGCATAATTATGATATAAAAGATTGAAGAGAACTGATGATTTATGTTTAGAGGCCTCCTGACCATCACCCTCTGCAGGTCGTCCATCCATTTCAGTTCTATTCAGTTTATTTCTATAGCTCCAATTCCCATCATGTCATCTCAG